GTTTTGAGCCGAGGGTCTATAAGAAATCATCTTTATAGCAACTCATAATATTACAAATACTCAAAATTGCACTTTTTAAATGATAAAGAGTTTTTCACAAAATAACTGAACCAATAAGAAATCAATAACGCATGTATCATTACACATCATCATACATATGTGATTAAACAAATCGGTTGATGAAAAAGGCGAAGAGAGAGTGCATGAACCTATATCAATTCAATAAGGGCAGAGGAAATAGAAGAGAGATGGATTTGCAAAATCAAGAAAAGAATACCTAGTGAGAGAGTAGGAACAGAGACAAAGAGAATACATAGATTACCTGGTAAGGACGAAAGAGACGAGATCGCGCCATGGCCGATGAGGAAGAGTGGTTTGCCCTAATTCGTATGGGTGAATTCGGAGAATGAGGAAGAGAGGTTCACCCTAATCTGTGTGGGTGAGTTTGTTGGTAGAGGGACTTTACCGGGAAATAACATTTTGGAAGAATATATATTAAGTAAAAATTATATAGTAGAATTAACTTTTAATTGCTAGTAATTATATTTTGCCCCATGGCAAATGCCCAAATGACGGTAATACTCGAATGTAGGGAGCATTTAGCGGCGATATATTTATTGCCTCTAAACTAATGTCCCTAAATGTGGTTTTTTAAGTTGTGTACAAAACTTAGTAAATTTATAAAATTGACAAGTATCTTACATTTTAGCAGTGTTATTTCAAAGTGTTTCGATAATTTTTATAGCTGGTTGTGCCATTTAAGAATTAAGGTTGCTTTTGTGATTTTTGTTAGATAAAGAAAGGAGACGCTGCAAGATGACTGTATTAAATTATTAGGTTTAGGACCGAAAGAAGGAAAACAACAGATCAAGTAAACAATCTCTCCATTCAAAGTGTTCTAACTCTGTTTTGACATATTTTTTGGTAATACCTTTCTGTTGTCACTCAAGTGCATGGTCTGCTACATAGTGTATTTAAATGATCTACTTGATTGTGTTTTGTGGACCACTCATATTAAGTGAGATAAAACGTGCTTTATAATCATATGTGGGTTGCTCATATTATGCGAGGTAAGAATGAAATTTTAACATCATTGATAAATCATGGGGAACTGAAAAGTTCATTCTTACCTCGCATAATATGAACAGCCCACATATGATTATAAATCACATTTTTATCTCACTTAATATGAGTGGTCCACAAAATACTATCAAGTAGCTCATTTAAATACACTATGTAGCAGACCATGCACTTGAGTGACAACAGACAGGTATTACCAAAAAATATGTCAAAACATATTTAGAACACTTTGAATGGAGAGATTGTTTACTTGATCTGTTGTTTGCCTTCTTTCGGTCTTAAACCTAATAATTTAATACAGTCAGCTTGCAGCGTCTCCTTTCTTTATCTAACAAAAATCACAAAAGCGACCTGAATTCTTAAATGGCACAACCAGCTAGAAAAATTATTGAAACACTTCAAAATAACACACCAAAAATATAAGATACTTGTCAATTTTATAAATTTACTAAGTTTTGCAAACAACTAAAAAAACCACATTTAGGGACATTTGTTTAGAGGCAATAAATAAGTTGCCGCTAAATGCTCCCTACATTCAAGTATTACTTTCATTTCGGCATTTTCCATTGGGAAAAAATATAATTACTAGCGATTAAAAGTTAATTCTGCTATAGTTTTTACATAATATAAATTCTTCCTAAAGTTTATTTCCCGGTACAATCCCTCTACCAACAAGTTCACCCACACAGATTAGGGCAAACCTCTCTTCCTCATTCTCCAAATTCACCCAGACGAATTAGGGAAAACTACTCTTCCTCATCGGCCATAGCGCGATCTCGTCTCTCTCGTCCTTACCAGGTAATCTATGTACTCTCCTTGTTTCTGTTCCTACTCTCTCACTAGGTATTATTTCTTGATTTTGCAAATCCGTCTCTCTTCTATTTCCTCTTCCCTTATTGAATTGATATAGGTTCATGCACTCTCTCTTCGCCATTTTCATTGACTGATTTGTTTAATCACATATGTATGATGACATGTAATGATACATGTGTTATTGATTTCATATTGGTTCAGTTTTTCTGTGAAAAACTCTTTATCAGTTAAAAAGTGCAATTTTGAGTATTTGTAATATTATGAGTTGCTATAGAGATGATTTCCTATAGACCCTCGGCTCAAAAGAGATGTTTCTGAAGCAAAACAGCTAAACATATATGTCAGCAAAAGAGCAAGAGATAAACCAGGGAAGCAACAACGACTTATATACATTAAAAATAAGAGAACAGACGATTATTTAATAATTCTACTGAAAAGGAATAGAGAGTAAATGTGTGTATATATATATATGTGTGTGTGTGTGTGTGTTGTTATTGTCCTGAATCAGCAAAAGAGAATCTCAAGAACTATTGAGAATCCTCAATTAGAATATAAAAACATGAGTAATAGATAACTTTAAGCTCAAGATTACACTCTAAGATGGGAAAGAGGCAATTGAGAAAACTTTCCCAACAAAAAGATTCTGAATACTCATATCTCATAAGTAGGTTGTCAAGTAAATGGAGAATCCTTATTCTATTATCACAAGATCCAGTATAAACCAAGCCCTAACTATGATAGCTTGAATGAAACCTCTAAAGTAGAGAATTTCTTAAAAGAAATTTAAGGAACCACATTCCCATCAACTTTTTTGAACAAAAGTTATCAATTTCTTGTATTATTGGATTTTTTAAAAAAAAGGTAGATACATCACTGACTTTTATCTATATAACACAACAATACACATACCTAAAAAACTCAAATTAGTTGAAAATCAAGAAAGAGAATAAACGTTTCTTACAAGGCTACTGTAGTTCTCCCAAGTATTACATTAAGAAAAGTGACTTTTGCACCTCACGGACAAGCCATGTGCAATTCTTTAGTGGATGGTCATGAGGAATATGCTACCACTTGTACATACATATTTCCCTTTCTAAACAATGTTAAAAACACTTGACAATGAAGATTAGATATTGGGATTCAAATTAGGTGTACAACAAAATTTGAAAGATTATACATCTTTACATGAGTATAACATCTTTACTTGAGTATTTAAAAAACTCATAACCAGACCTTGACAAATTATGAACCTGAAAAATGCACACTTTAGTTGTTTGATTCAAAATCAAAAGAATACAAAAGTTTAGATTCCATCTTTGACAAAAATATTATTAAATATATTAGCTGCATTATCTGCCTCAAATTAGTTGTTAATCCACACAAAATACATCAAAAAGGTATAATGCATGTGAAAACAGGAACAACTGCTTACATGCATATAAAATATATAGTAGACTTTTTTTTATTAAAGAATCCCAGGAAAATTACCTTCGAAAGAGGAAGAGGTGCACAGAGGACGTGGACTGATTGCTTCTAGAAGTTATAGAGAAATTTGTAAATTTCTTGAATGATTAAAAAATGGAGTAAACGTAAAATTAAGATTTTCCCCTTGTTCATCCTCTAAACTCCCATTTCTCTAAATAGGAGTAAAAAAGAAAGAACATTTAAAAAAATTCTTATCATGCAAATATAATACATCAATAATTAATTAAAAGAAAAAATAAGGTAAATAATGTTACATCATAGCAATAAAAATAATAATTATGAGACAAGTGAAGAATATATTAAAATGTAAATTGATTATTGGAATGACTATGAAAATATATGAGTAAGAACTAATAACAAAAAAAATAGTATCTATAGGTTGGTGTATTTTCCATAATACAAATGAAAATCATTTAATTGTTTTCTAAACAGAGTGAAACACAATTAGTCGTAGTTAAGATTAAGCAAATGCAAAAAAATAGTAAAATAGATTGATTTGAAGAATTAATGTTTAAAAAATGTAATTAATAAACATTGTAAGGATTTTCTAATAAATCATATAATAAATGGAAAATAATTTAAAATATGTCAAAATTTTGAGGGAAAAAAAATTAATGTCATTCTTGGGTTTAGAAGCATGCTGCATTACATATAAACAGGCGATTGATGAAAAAATAGATTTTTAGATCACAATTTTTTTTATATTTACAATGTATGATATTTTTTTTCCCGATGATTCTTAACTACTACTTTAAAAGTTTTAGGAGATATTAAATTATAATTTCATTAAAGATATACATTTATTTCCAATAGATTCGGAACTTCAAATGTATATATAAATCCCCACATTATTTATGCTAAAAGCTTCAATAGCAGACATAATGATCCCACATTATTTGTTCTATGATTCAAAAACAACCTTGAAAAATTGTTATGTAATTTGATTTTGTAATTCTTTAAGTTAAAACAATCTCAAATGCATCACCTCTTTTAAAAACGAAGTATCACATTATATAAACTAGTAAGTATGACTAATTTTTAACTTAATGCACCATATTATCATAATATATTTCGACTTCACTTTCTCTCAAAACCCCGATATTCATTATAAAACTTATCTGCTCTTTTCATTATTATTTTTTAGGGTGGATCATCTTCTGAACAAGTTTCAAACCAAAAAGGTTAATTCATCATGACTGAAAGCACTGGAAGTATAGAAATCAACAATGATGAAATTTTTCCACTTTCGGATAACCCATATGTTGGTATGGTTCTTACTAAGAGCAATGTCAAGCCCATCTACAGTTTGGTAACCTCGTTTCCTTCCTCCTATTTTCATATAAAACTCCCTCTTTTTGTTAGTATTTATTCACAAACTATTCTTTGTAGTGGTGATTCTCATCCTTAACTAGAGGTTTTGTGGTGATACAAAATCATCTTTGTTAGGACACTTCATAAACTAGTGTTGGGTTTTTGGGATGAACATGAATTTAGTGGGACTATGGGTATTGGATGTGAAACGACTTAAGAGTATACCCTAGAAGAAAGAGCACCCTTAAGTCGCCACACAACATACTAGACCTCTCAGAGGTCTTATACAAGCCCTTAAACGTCGTTCATCGCACCTAATTTAAAAGTAGAGCCGATTTAAAGCTTTTTCCAACAATAGTTTAAATATTTATAAATCGTAAGAAAGAACTAAGTGTCGTCATGGTCATCTTAGACACATAGAATATCTTGGGGTGACATCCCTTACATCAATTTTAAAAGTAACTATAGTCTATTACAAAGTCTTTTTGAAAGGAAACTAAGGCATAACTATGTCCTTAATCATATGAGGACATACCAAGTCTCAAGCTTTTCTTCTAATGTTAGTCTCAAGCTTTTCTTCTCAGAGACTCCTCACTTAACACCTACACTTGTAGAATTAGAACAACATATGAAATTAGCACATTGAATGCACTTAGTATGGTGAACATCCAAGAAAACCATGCTAAAAATGGACATTTACTTTACAAGGATGGGTCCACTAGAGCTGCCAACCTACGACTATTAGGATAACTCTTATGACTTTCTTAAAGATGGTTTTATGTAGTTCCAGCCA